ATAGTAGTTGTCATGACTCCCAGCATCTGACAGTGCACTTAACACATTCTCAGACACTTCGCCGGCATCGTAGTCGGCATCATCAGTGAGCGCTGCCAAGCTACGAACTCATCAAAGAGACAAGTTAAGCCAATCCCTGCCCAAAACGGTTGGGCTATCACTCCTCTTTCTGTCCTGGCCTATCTATACACTCTTTACTCTCTTATCCAACTTCTCCTGTCTCTTGACGAGTTCGTAGCTTGACAGCACTCACTGATGATGCCGGCGAAACGTTTGAGAATGTACCAAGTCCACTGTCTGATGCTGGGAATTATGACAACTATTATGGCAGACGACTTGGGATTAGGTGCGTTCTGCTAAGTTGTCATGACAACAAGACCAAGTTGCGACAACGAGGTCAACCCACTTCTAGACATCGAAAGGAGACTGCCACCATACCAGAGGCCACACCATCTTGGTCTTCATATCTTCAATTATTATTTATTCTTCTCCTTTTGCTTCTTCTACTTCTTCTACCTCTACATCTTGTCTTTCTTCCTATTCTCTCTCTCACCAAATGTGTTGGTGAAGACCAGGCAGCTCAAAAGTATAGTCAGCCAAGATGATAGAGCACTTTAGAAGAACCAATTGATAGGCAAACATTGAAACGAAAGCATCAAGTGACCCTCCTATGAAATATATTTGGTCAAATTGATATATAATATTGATATAATATAAAAAATTGATTAATTAAAAAAGATAGACTAGCTAGTTTGCTGTAACTTGTTTGGCCAAAGAGCAGGATGCTTACCGACAGGTCGGGATATTTCCTACGTCCACGCACCAACGTGAGAGGCAGTCCAATGAGTAAACCGAAGAGCAGCGGAATGAGAGGAATAAGCCAGCCCAGGAGAGGATACTGCACTACGGGGTCTTTGAGCGGAGCGGCGCTGAAGGTGCGGCATTGCGAGTCGGGAGGCACTTCGAGGAATGCAGCCAATGCATACCAGATGAAGACGCCCTGAAGGTGAGTTAAGCAGCAAAGACGAGAAATAAGCAGAAACGATTGCAATTAGCAGATTACGCAACGGCAACCACGTGAAACAGAAGTCGACTGCACTAACGCCCTAAAGTTAGGGCCTGAATGGAGTAATTTTGCTGATTTAGGTGCCCATATGACCTGTGAAACCAAGCAAAAGTAGCTCCTTCTATGACATTTTGTCAATTGTTTTGGTTGGTTAATTCATTCTTAAATCGAATACTTTACAAAAAGGGCCAAATTGCTCGGCATAACTTGATATGATAGGGCCAATAGAGAAGCAAATGCTCTGCTCTTCTGAAAGTAGATAAGCTCAAAGACATAAATGCATTGTTCGGGGGACCTTTATTTCGAATGAAAGTACATGATGAAGAGATTCGTTTGTCGTTCTCACCAGATGAGCACGGATGAAAATCGTTGTACTGCAGCCGTTTAGCTTTTATATGATATTCATGTTGACGCAGTCCACGAGTATTCCTCCCTCGTTTCGGGTGAAAACGTGCTGAGCTTTCGTCCATCATATGATGGACATCATCAGAGCTGACGGATGAAAATCGTTGTACTGCAGCCTTTTAGCTTTTATATTATATTCATGTTGACGCAGCTCCCTCGTTTCCGGTGAAAACGTGCTGAGCTTTCGTCCATCATATGATGGACATCATCAGAGCTGGGTTACATCCTTTTTTCGGGTGAAAACGTGCTGAGCTTTCGTCCATCATGTGATGGACATCATCAGAGCTGGGTTTCATTCTTGTAAGAGTCTCACGTTAATACTAAACAAAGAACACTATCCGGCTTCATCTTACTACTTATATACACTCAGTAGAGTCAATAGATTAAAAATTACAAA